TCAATTTCATGTCCATCAGGTAAAAAACGTAAAAAACCACTGTCGGCGACTTGAAAAAAAGGGTGTCAGGTGCCGTTGCCTAGGTTTCTCACTGAAAATCCTCGTCCCCCGGCGGCACCTTTTTTTGAATTTTCTTCCTTTTCAACGCCGTTTTTCGGGGATTTCGGATTTTTTTTTTGAATTTTTTCGCAATAATATTCGGAAAATAGATAACTTTTAACACATTTTAATGCAACAAAAATTTTTGGTCGGAGTCCCCAAGAAAATCTGAAACTTTTCGATTTTTTGGAATTTTTCAAAAAATGCGATTTTTTTGGAATTTTCGAAAATTTCACAATTTGTTTTTTTCGAATTTTTCGGAGTTTTGAAATTTGTGAAATTTCAGAAAAATTTTAAATTTTCGAATTTTTCCAAAAATTTTAAATTTTCGAATTTTTCCAAAAATTTTAAATTCCCGAATTCTGGTCATTACCAATAGTTTCTGAGTCTGTCTCTTCTTCCAATTCCTCATCATCCACCTCCTCGTCGTCATCCTCATCGTCACTATCCCAATTTCTCTTCTTCGGAGCTTTTGCCACGTCATCAGTCTTCAAAACCTTTTCATCGAAATCTTCCATATTCGCGATATCTCCATCATCCACATCATCATCTTCTGGCATGATTCCAGCGACGTCTTCTCGTTTTGGAAGCCCAAACGATGGGTCCATGTTCTCTACAGTATTGTTTTCTTCTTCTGTTTCTTCGTCCATTTCAGATTCCAACATTCCGGTGCCGTCGCATGAGCAATCACAGAGATCGTGCGTGTTACATTCGGTGTCGTCGCCGGTGAATGTGAAAATGTCCTTGAGATCTTCGTCGGTGAATGTGGAGACGGTGTCTGGAAGTTAGGGAGAATTAAAGGGAATAGTTTATAGTTTGTAGCCTGGATGTTTTAGTTTGTAGTCTACGAATCTCAATTTCAGTTACTGAAATTCAGCATAACCAAATTTTCAGACACTCGCTAACTTCTAATTTTCCAATTTTCTGAATTCCAATTTTTGTAGTTTGTAGTCTTGCTACTGTAGTTTGTAGTCTATTCATTTTAGTTTGTAGTTTATTCATTTTAGTTTGTAGTCTAGTTTTTTGTAGTTTGTAGCCTAGTTTTTTGTAGTTTGTAGCCTAGTTTTTGTAGTTTGTAGTCTAGCTTTTGTAGTTTGTAGTCTAGCTTTTGTAGTTGAAGTCTATACCTCGTAGTTTGTAGACTAGCCTTTGTAGTTTGTAGCCTAGGCGTTGTAGTTTGTAGTCTATGGAAGCCTAGGCGTTGTAGTTTGTAGTCTATCGTTGTAGTTTGTAGTAGCCTAGGCGTTGTAGTTTGTAGTCTATCGTTGTAGTTTGTAGTCTATCAATTTCAGTATATCCAAACTTTAAGACGTCTAGATTTTTGAAATTTCTGATTTTCAGAATTTCCAGAATACCCACCTCCTACTTCAATGGCGTCAATCACACATCCCAATCCGGTTTTCTTAATTTGTCTTTGCAGCATTTTCTCTTCGATTGTTCCCTGAAATTATTTTGATATTCTTATGCTGAGCAATCGTCTTCTACCGTAGTAATCAATCGATAAATATGACATGGCCTGACTTGTCCGTCTCTCCAAATTCTCGCCATCGCCTGTTGATCATTCGCCGGATTCCAATCGGAATCAAACAGAACCAAACGAGATGCTCCGATGAGATTGAGTCCAACTCCACCGGCTTTTGTGCTCAACAGGAAGATGTTGGATGGGTCCCGTTGATCATTGAAGTTTCGGACCAGTTTCTGACGATCTTGGACCTGAAATTAGGCCATTTTAACATCGTGGCCTAACTTTTGCAAGTTGGGTTTTCTAGGCCACCATGACTTGGAAACGACCGGATATTCGCCTGCGGCATTTTCTAGGCCATTTATCATGATGGCCTAACTTTTGCATTTTGGGTTTTCTAGGCCACTATGGTAAACCACCTAGATATGACTTTCTATGTGTTTTCTAGGTCATCTACCCTGATGGCCGAACTTTTGCAATTTGAAGTTTTTAGGCTATCATGGTGAATGGCCTAGAAATGACCTTGTCTTAACCTGTTACGTTTTCTAGGTCATCTATCATGTTGGCCGAACTTTTGCAAGTTGAGGTTTCTAGGCCACTATGGTTAATGACCAGGAAAAGGCCTGATATGTGATTTCTATGCTATTTATGATGGTGGCCTAATTTTTGGAAGTTGAGTTTTCTAGGCCACCATGCTAAATAGCCTGGAAATGGCCTAATATTCGCCTGGTGTGAATTCCAAGCTAATTTGGAGTGACGGCCTAAAAAACTCAACTTGAAAAAGTTAGGGCGCCCCCTTCAAAACCACCAAACCACTGTTAAAATACCTGAGTCTTTCCATCCAATCGAAAGACACGAAACTCCAAATACGCACACAACTGTTCGATCATGTCCAATGTTTCGATGTAGTTCGAAACGACTACAGTACACTCTTGAAGCATTCGGAAGCATTTTAGCATGTCTGCCAGAGCGTAAAGTTTTCCGGATTCCTGGAAAAAAAATTGTTTAAAAATTTTTAGAATCTGAAAATTTTTAGCCGATTCACCGACCGACCGCAGACAGACCGCTGACCAGCCGCTGACCAACCGCCGATTGACGACTGACCGACAGCCGACTGACCGGTGACCGAGAGACGACCGACGGCCGACTCAACACCGACCAACCGCCGACCAACCGCCGACCGACCGCTGACCGACCGATGACCGACAGCTGACCGACCGACGACCGACCGCAGACCAAGCCCTGACCGACAGCTGACAGACAGCCGACCTACAGTCGACCGACCGCTGACCGACAGCCTATCAACTGCCGATTGACGGCTGACCGACAGCCGACCCACCGGTGACCGAGAGACGACCGACGGCCGACTCTTCGCCGACCAAACACCGACCGACAGATGGCTGACCGCTGACTGAACACTGGCCGACCGAGGACCGACCAACTGACAGCTGACCGACCACTTATCGACTTTCGGTCGGCGGTCGGTCGGTCGGACAATATCCCTACCTTCGCGGCGCCACGTGGCATATTCGGTCCATCGAAGGCCAATAGTAAGGCGGTATGTTTCTGGGCTTGTTTCAGAGATTTTTCTCCGGTTTTTGAATTTTTCTCTCTCAAATTATCCAGCAAAAGTTTGGGATGATTGGCCAGCTGACGAGCGAAGAAGATCAATGATAGGGGATCACCAGTCATGTAGTCACAGATTTCCGAGTGAATCGCTTTTTGGATTCGAGACGCCGCACAGAATAGGATGTACTCATCTGGAAGAGAAAAGGGGATTCCGGGTTTCTAGGCCATAGCATGGTGGCCTAACGTTTGCAAGTTGAGGTTTCTAGGCCATCATCATAAATGGCCTAAAAATGGCCTAACATTCACCTGATGTGTTTTCTAGGCCACTTTAGCATGGTGGCCTAACTTTCTCGAAGTGATTTTCCTAGACCACCATAAAGAATGACCTGGAAATAGTCTGAAAATCACTTGGTGTGTTTTCTAGGTCATTTAAGCATGGTGGCCTAACTTTCTCAAAATGAATTTTTTAGGCCAGTATGGTAAATGGCCTAGAAATGACTTGATATGCTGGCCTAACTTTCTCAAACTGAATTTTCTAGGCCATCATGGTAAATTGTCTAGAGATAGCTTTATATGTGTTTTCTAGGCCTTTTTAACATGGTGGCCTAACTTTTACAAGTTGAGTTTTCTAGGCCATCACTCCCAAACTTACGCTTCTCTGGTAAATGCGTCAAATTTACATCCGCCGCAGTTCTTCTCAGCATACACTCATCGATAATCTCATTGAGTTGCTCCACATCGTCATTGCACATCAGACGGAATCTGGGGAGGGAATCGAATTTCGCGGGGCACACAAAATTCAGAATCGAGTAGAATTCGTCGAAATCGTTTTGCATCGGCGTGCCGGTGAGGATCAAACGACGTGGAATTTCCAGGGAGAGGAGCTGGAATTGTATTCGGTTACTGTA